AATTATCCTATTTTTCCTAGTGTACAACGTGAGTGTAACCCCAGATCATGAAGGCATGACTTACAAGCTGTCGGATCTTAGCCCAGGTGAAGAGTACCAGGTTTGGATAAGAGCTGTGAGCAAGGCTGGGCCCAGTCCCAAGGTCACCAGAACATTCAGGATTAATCCTCATGAAGGATATAGAATGATGTCAGGTATGATATGCATATAAATATCTTTAACTGTTACTATTACTGAGAATATATTTGTGAATGTAACTTTTCATTTTTCTTCTCAGTATATTTGGTTACCATTCTGGTGGTCTTGTTGGCGGTTATCATATGCCTCTGTGGTTGCTTACTAAGGTGAGAAAATGACTGCTACCTTCTTTGAAGACATTTTTTTGAGCGGCCCAATTATGTTTGTTTGTTTATTGTTCCTTTGCTGTGCAGAACGTTTCATATCCCTTCAATGTTTTTACATTATGTATGCTGATAAAAGTAAATAGATGTATTTTTTTTTTTAAGTATCCTAACCATAAGCAGTGCAAGGATTGAATGATGTGAAATGAGAGGTGTTTGTTTTTGTTTGGGTAAACTGCAATTCCAATATAAAAATGGGTAAACATTTCTTTAAATAAGTGAATTTACCCTTAATTTGAGTAGGTACATAGGATCTGTTAATGGAATTAATATTTTTACCCTTAAGATAAGATCATTAGATATTATGCGGTTGAAATTTTTTCTTAATTTTTTCTTAATTTAAATGGAAATTGTCTTATTCCACGAGTAATATGTGTCATTTACCTTTTCAACTCTAAAAAGCACTTATTCTAAGGAAATGTACTTGGATTTCCATTTTTTTGCAGTGTATTATTACAGCTTCCTTTTCTTGTTAAAAAAAAAATCAAATAAACACAGCATGGTGCTCCCAGACAGCATGTCTTAAAGCCCATAAAGCTCCGCCATTGGCCTCTTGGCTGCTCCCTCGCTCAGTCAGTTTAAGTGGGTGGCTGTGATTCAGGATTTTTCCTGTTGTTCTTTTCGAAGTTACAGATTGAGCAGAGCTCTGAGATGTTAAAAGCTTAGGATAAGGTTTTTCTAACTTCCACCTTCTTCCAACTTCTTGACCACTGTATCCCAAACCTGTGTGCTGGTTTCCTTGACCTTCTATGATTACGTTTGCTTATGTTCCCTAGGATTCGCATGAAGCCTTACAAATCGGTTGGATTATTAATTTTAGAGCTGAAACAATCAGATTTTTTGGGATTAATGGATTATTGAAATAATTGTCAACTAATTTTGTAATGATTGATCATTAACTTGAGTATAGAGACTCAAAATACACTGGTGCCACTGGGCCCTCTGACCACCATCAGTAGACAATGCAGGCGAAGTGTCTTGCCCAAGGACATGACACTGAAAGCTGGAGCTTGAACCGTCAATCCTTCAATTTCATGGCAAACTCCTATACCCCACGCCACTGTCGCCCTATTTATTTAATTAAATGGCTGATGTGTGGATCTTACTTGGCTGAGGTGAAGCCTCCATCACTATATTGCTGAGACGTTTGGTAGCCATGTATTTTACCTTTCTTCTTCCTCTTCATTATATTTATTAGTTTTTATTGCTCCATCACATCAAAACCCTATGAAATACAGACAGGTTTGTTTGTTTGTGAAAAGTTTCACAATGTATGAAGGCATTTGTGCTCATTATGGTTGAAGATAAATTAATCTACAGTTTTATCCTAGAGCCATTTTGGCAGTAAAAGCACGTAAAACTTACTTTAAATAAGCCTAGGGTGTATAATTATTTTGTCGTTCATTTTTATGTAAAGATAATTTTATTTAGGTTAGTAATTATCCTGTCTGTATTGTGTGAATGCGATGGGCTATGAAAAGACAGGACTTCCCTTTTTCTTGTATCTTGCAATAACTGACCATGAGGGTGCCTGAAGTGATTTATTGTTTCTTTCTCTTTTTACTTTTGTTTGTTTTTCCAACCAGTTTCTTCCGAGGAGTCAACAAAATGTGGCCTCTCCTACCTCAGTGCCTTAATGAGAAAGTGCCAGATCCCAGCAATAGCAAGATCTTCAGACAGATGAGGCTTAAGGTGAGCAGAAAATCTAATACCATCCATCCATCCATTTTCTTTACACGCTTGTCCCGAGTGGGGTAGAAAATCTAATACCAAATTGATCAATTTAAATTGCTTATTAGAGATGCTTTTTACTACTTATGTCCCATGAATCACTTTTATTTTGTTTGTTTTTTTACCTACATATGCAAAAATATCATAATTTTCTCTTTTCTTCTGTTTTTGTAGGTTAACGAGCCCTTGACTTGGATTTGCGTTCCTCTTCATGAACCTAGTCCGAAAATCTCTGTCTTGGAAGTTGTTGCAATAAAATCGAAGGTATTTGAGCCAGACGGGATAAGAAAAGAGAATGGTTTCTCTCAGATGGACTGCCAGGATGATCAGAAACAGGATCTTGGCACAGAGAACACAGACAGTACAGACAGCGGATTCGAGAGGAAGGAGTACAGTAAAATGGTTGACTCGGATGAAGAGAAGAATGATGGTTGGAGCTCATCAGAAGAAGAACAGTCTACCTCAGGTTATGAAAAGCACTTCATGCCCTCCGCTTTAGAAATAATGGTGGAGTAACTATGTCGGGACCACGGACATTCATTTTCAGTGTTTTTTTTTTAATTGACAGTATTTTCATATTATGAAATATAGTCAAAGGGACTAACCACAAAATGCTTCAGTTTTGTATTGTTTTTTGTGACCTTCAACATTTTAAGCTTTCTTGTAATCCTGTTTTTTTTTATATATACATATAAATCTAATTACACTTTGTTTAAAAAAATAAATCTCTTCTGATTTTTATACTTTATTCTATTTTAGTGTCCTCTTTTTTGTCATTCAATTTGATTAGTACGATTTTGAATTAGAGCACAATAGGAACATGTTTTGAACCTTAATTTTATCAACATTAAGAGACTTATTAAGAGATTTAATTCATGTCAGTCTGGCTGATGAAATGAACAAACATCTCTAATATTCTGAGACAACAAAGTTAAGCTGCTTTGTTTGATATGCAAGTTAATCCAACTTTTAAACATGGGGGAAAGAAGAGTGAGGGATCCTGAAGGATCAAAAATCCACTAATATCATGATGTTGCTCCTCAGATACACAGGGATTATGTCCACATACTACACAGCCATTGATTTCAGATAGTACAGACCTGTGACCTACAATAAAACCTCACCCAATGGGAATGTATATCAGCAAGGTGCTGTTTTAAAACCTGATTAAAACACAAAAAAAATGTTTTTAATTTTACTGCAGCCATTTTTCTGCACTAAAGTGATTTAAAATAAAACTCAGTGGTTTATTGTTTCTTTAAAATATCCTAGATGTTACAGCTGTGGTGTTTAAAACATGGGACTTACTGAGTGTTTTTCTTATGAATTCCTGTGGCTCCATAAGCTGCATCTTATGAGAACTTAAAACAGGTGATAAAAGGACTCGAGCGGTATTTCTCACCCATTTCAAAGAAGAAGTGGGTAACTCCATTTGGATCAACAGAGTTTAGGTTGCGTTATCTTGATAGCGCTCACTACCAGGCATATTTGCCTTTATTTAACTAATAAAATCGAGTTGATAAATCACTTGTTCCTAAATGCCAACAGGTTTGAGCATCATGGCACTCGAGCAGTAATTTTTATTACTATTATTGGTGCTTTTATTGGGTTTGATAACAGTACTCGTTTCTTACTTAAAATAATTTAGGTTTTCACAATTTATTAGGTCAGAGATGTTTTAATATTTTCCCTCTTTATTAAATTGGGAATAAAATATTTTTTTGTTCAATTTCATTTTACACTCTCTTTATCCACCTACTCTGTTTTAGAATCGTGTAAAATAAACGTTATCTATCAATCTATAAAGGGTTAACAAATCTATTTTAGAGATTTTGCGATTTTAGCAAACCACACATGGCCGCCTAGAGACAGGCAACAGTGCCCCTGTGCTGAAGATGTAATACCAAATTAATTATAGGTTATGTTGCAGAAACCATAAATGATTGGTCCCTTGGGTCACTTTGTATTGTTTTCTTGTACAGTTTCAATGATGATTTCAAAATCAAGGTGTTAATCACAGTTTTTACCTGCTATATCTGGTTTCTCCTTGGCTGTAACTGGCTCATTGGTTCTGCATCATACTTACTATTTAAAGATTAGTTTTTTGTTTCACTCTTTTGTTATGTGCCCCATTTGAAAGCATTGACCCCACCCTGCGCCCCTTGGTAAATTTGGTCTGGAACTGCCACTGAAACCACAGTGAAAGCCTTTATTCACAAATATAAATAAAACCTTGGGTTTAACAGTAGTGGTTCAGACAAGTTAATAATTAAGCAATACTAAAAGATGGTCTGAAATGTAACCAATGACAGAGTTTTGAGGCCTAAACTGCTGTGTGGAAACGAAAACAATAAGCCATTTTACTTTTTTGCCAAAATAATAATGATGTTGAAATCTTTTGGAGGCATTCTGTGAACTGGATTTTTCACTTACTCTGTCTGCTGTCCTTCATTTATATCAAAATGTGGTTTTGGATTTTTTAATAGGCCAACATTTCAAAAATCAGACGAAAGCTGCAAGAGCTAAAATTCTTTTTCATGTTTTTCAACTTGACACAACACAGTCTCCCTTAAACGTGCTGAACTAATCAAGATGTATCCCCCCAACTTTTTGTACAAGGAATATAAATATAAAAACTTTTGTAAATATGTTATTATTCATTAATCACACAAATCTTTAAATATAACCTAATATACATTTATCAGGTGATTGATAAAATGTATGTTATTGTAAATATGAAAAGGAATCCAAATAGATTAATTAAAAACGAGAAAACACATCAGTCATATGAGTTTTAACAAACGCTTCTAACATAATCTCGCGTGACTACAGTTAGCTAAAATCCTGCGCTTAACGGAAGCCGTTGCAGGTCAATTTAAGTCGGCGTGCTCATTTGAACCAGTGGAACTGAAACGAAGCAGAAGACGAACGGCCCAGCACTGGTTATATCTCGTTCTAACCGATATTGTAGGTACAGTTTCGTAGTGTGTTACTTCATACGAAGTATGTTATTACGTTGTTCACATTGCGTTTTCGGTTAGACGTTAATAAATCAAACGAGTAAAAGATAATGTCGACGGTAGAGCGGCTAGTACGATTAGCATTAGCAGCTTAGCGGCTAATGGTAGCCGGGAAAACGTGTTCATAGGGGCTGTAATTACCGCTGGATTAATTTTATTAGTTGCTTATGTTTAATGTGTACTTGGGTGTTTTCGTTTTCAGAATATCAACGTATCTGATCCGTTTACGTAAAAGTCTGGAGTTTCAAGTTCGATCATAGGGCGCATTGTGAGCACTCAGCCGGGAGAACTGCCTCTCCAAGTAGTAGGCCCGAGGAAGAAGAACAACTTTTGCAGCATCAGGTTTGCTGTACAAAATAATTAATTAGAATTTGTTAGAAATGAAACCTCAGTATATTGATCCAGATAAAAACAAAGTAATTGTGTCTTTGATCGGGATCATTTTTGTACAGTATAACATCCCCTCGCAGATTTCGTTTGAACTTTTTCCTCACACGCGACCCCTGCGGCTACCCGCGTGTCTTTTGGCCCACCCACTCAACACAAACCACTGCGTTGAAATCGGTACTAAAATGTTGCGCCGAGCTGCGTGAACTGGTGCACCGTGTGGCGTGGGGGTGGGGATGAGATTAACATGAGGTGGTTAAGCCGGGTCACGGAGATTTTAGTTGGCCGACTGGTCTAATAGTTTTGTTTTTGTGCCGCAAACACGTTATATTTAATATCCACGTGCTAGCAGTCTGGATTTTGTATTACTTGAACCAACGCAACGTGGGCGCTTATTCATTTTTGGCTTTGTGCTAATCTAGCTGCACATGTGGACTGGAGATGATGCATTAAAAAAAACCTCTGACCTTCTGTGATGGTGTTTGTATTCATACTGTCTGATCCAGAGACCACATGTTTTCCTCCATTTTTTTTTTGTCCCAGTTAATTTGCATGCTAACAAACAATGTAAATTATTTGTGTGTTAACAGGATGGATTGGCAGCCAGATGAGCAAGGACTCCAGCAGGTCCTCCAGCTACTCAAAGACTCCCAGTCGCCCAACACAGTGACACAAAGAGCTGTCCAACAAGTATCCTGCTGCTGTGTTTTTAGTAACAGGCATAGCACTGGTTACAGTTTGGTGACCAGATTCTAATACTGATTTTACTTAAAGCCAAATGACAGCTTAACTTTCCAATTTAAACATTCTGATATCAACTTTTAGCGTTACTAAAATCACTTTCACACATGTAATCCTCTTATAGTGTAGGTTCTTTCCCTAAGATTAGAATTCAACTTTATTGTCATTAAGTTTTCCCAAGTACAAAGCAATGAAATTTCATCTCTTGCATTTAACCCATTAAACCCATCCTTTTGGGAGCAGTGTGGGAATGGGGCTTCACTCGGAACCTCTGGGATCCAAGCGCAAGGCCCTAACCACTAGTCCACCACTCCCAAATAACTTTGAGATTCTCAAGAATCTAGTGAAATGGACGTATAATTTTATCAGGAGTCTTGAATATCTCATGTTGCATGTAGTCAGAACCCTGTAAGTACTGTTTTGGGAAATTAAGCTCACACACACAACACACAAATGTTTCATGTTGTTCAGCTACAGTCTAATTTTTTTGTTAGTTTTTTTTTGTGTGAACAAAATGGTCCTTAACTGCTTTACTAGAAACTTGAGCAACTCAACCAGTTTCCTGATTTCAACAATTATCTCATCTTTGTCCTCACAAGACTCAAAACCGAAGGTAAGTCTCTTTTTATATTCAGACTTTTCATTTAAATTTGACAGTTAGGATTGACACTCTGGAATAAAAGTGCCTTAGTCATGTTTTATTTGTCATGCTTTATTTTTCAATAAAGTCAATGTTTTTTTCTTGCTTCGTGAACCATGTTTCGGCACATTCTTCTGCAAGTGGGAATGTAAACACTTCTGAAGTACGTTGACGCAGAAGTTATTCAATGTTCACTCCTACGCCTCAGCTGCAGGCTTTTAGCTTGGGTTTTTGTCTTATTATGAGACATAAATCAGCTGAATCTAATTGAACGTATAAAAAGAAAAAGAACAAGTCGGTGCCAAATATTGGACCTGTCTTTCCCCCCCAATCATTTGTATGTGTGGAAGGGTTTAGTTCTACATGTTTTCTGTAAAATAACAGTGATTTCTGTATTGCACATAATTCATTTGCGTGTTTGCTGTTCTGTATAACATTTACAAAATTCTAACTTTTTTTTCTTCTTTCTTTATTGTCCCAGATGAGCCGACTCGCTCCTTAAGTGGTTTGATACTGAAGAACAATGTTAAGGCTCACTATCAGAACTTCCCTTCGGGAGTTTCCGATTTCATCAAGCGGGAATGCCTCAACAGCATTGGTGATCCGTCGCCACTTATTCGGGCCACCATTGGTATGTTTTGTGTCGGTGACAATAGAAATCAACTGATTTTTTTTTAAATGCAGAAACTGGTTATTATTAAATAAGTCTAACCGATACCCAATATGTACAGGGCTTGTGTAGGTATACGCACATGTTTTAAGACTATATTGATTTTAAAATTAAAACTCCTCTAAACACTTAATTAGGCTAATTCCTGGCTACATATTAGCCATGTTACTGTCTGGATATGATGCATCTAAAACATCTGATTAATCATGAAGGTGTTTGTATTCATACTGTCTGATCCAGAGCCACCGTAATGAATGTGTTTGTATATTGTGTTGAATTTTTAAATCATTTAACCTCCGTCGTCTTTGCTCTCCCAGGTATCCTCATCACTACAATCGCCTCCAAAGGAGAGCTCCAGTCATGGCCGGAGCTGCTGCCACAGCTCTGCAACTTGCTCGACTCGGAGGACTATAACACTTGTGAGGTCAGCACCTATGACTTTGTCGCTACAGTCAAAACATACAATGTACATACAATGTACATACAACGTTCCGAAGCCTTTTAATTTTTAAGTGTTGCATTGATAAAATTGATCAGATTGTATCTTGGCAAAAGTAGGAGTCAAGTGATTCTGTTAACATTTATTACAGCTCTACCATGATTATGTGCCCTAATTACTTACCATTGGTGAAACAACCGATAGATAATTAAAAGACAGTTTGAAAGCCAAAGTGTGTGCAGTGATCCCTTTGCTCCACATTGATCATCTGATGCCGTTTCGTTCTCTCCTCTGTGTCTCCCGTCTATGTTTGCGTTTGATTTGACAGCCTTTCTGTGTATGTCCGTGTCTCAGGGCTCGTTCGGTGCGCTGCAGAAGATCTGCGAGGACTCGTCGGAGCTGCTGGACAGCGACGCTCTGAACAGGCCCCTCAACGTTATGATACCTAAATTTCTTCAGTTCTTCAAGCATTGCAGTCCAAAGATTAGGTACAGCAGGGAGGAGGAAATGCTAAACATGTGTCATGACGTTTCAGATGAGTTTTCCTGCTCCTGAAGCAATGTTTGCGGGGCAACAGGAGTAGATTGGTCATATGTGTGCATTTACCGGCATTTTGGTTTTCCTTTACATTTAGCTGAAACGAGAGCAATCTTTCCTCTTTAACTCTAAAAGCTGTATTTTTAATTCCTTTTTTGCAGGTCCCATGCCATAGCCTGTGTGAACCAGTTCATCATTGGAAGAGCCCAGGCCCTCATGGAAAACATTGACACCTTCATAGAGGTTAGCTGTGTGATATTTTTTATTTTTTTCAAAGCTTTATCGATTATATGAACAAAATTGTCCTTACATTATTATTATTATTTTTTTTTTTTAAGAGTCTGTTTGTGCTGGCAGCAGACGAAGACTCTGAGGTCCGTAAAAACATCTGCAGAGCCCTGGTCATGTTGCTGGAGGTCCGCATTGACCGTCTAATCCCCCAAATGCACAGCATTATACAGGTAGGTTCAGAACGGCGGTTGGTTGTGGTGTGTTTTTTTGCCTTTGACTCATGATATTACATCTATCTCTATTATCCTTTAAAGTATATGCTGCAGCGAACTCAGGATCCCGATGAGAATGTGGCTCTGGAAGCCTGTGAGTTCTGGTTGACCTTAGCGGAGCAGCCCATTTGTAAGGAGGCGCTGTCCGGACACCTGGTGCAGTGAGTAGCCTGTGCTCCTAATATGTAGTCACTGTTAACAGATGTATAAGCTAGATTTGAGTTTAATGTTAAACTTTCTTTATTTTTTATCTTTATTCTTACAACCACAGATCTCATTTGTTTTTAATTTGGATTATTTTATTTTTGTGATTGTAAATGTGTAGAACATAACTTTAAAAGGTAGAATGATGTTGAATACGAGCACTTGTATGTCTGTTTCCTGTGGAAAAGTGTAATAAAAAGCAATTGTTGACAGATGAGTCAGGAAATAAGTCCCTTTAGATTATTTATGTAAATGATTTACTTCATCTCCTCCATCAGCTAATTGGAAATGGCCTGTTAAATCTCACCTGCATGATGCCCCTATATCCACCCATAAGAACCATGATCTTTAAGGGGTAACGTGAAATTGGGGAACGATTGAGCAAACACAACAGTCGCTGCTCTCATTGGTGTCTTAGATTTAACAGTGTAGCTTAGTGGAGCCACAGATGGCAAGTTTATAACCCCACACAAGTAGAAAACATGAATTTTTCCAGCGGCTCAGACAAAAAAAAAAGGTTGTCTGTAGATGTTTGTTTGCAAACACTCGCCAGTAGGAGTTATCGTTCCTCCAGTGTGTTCGTCCCAAAAATTTCTAGCCGCAAAAGTCAGGAAGCCCAGAGGAATGCGGACGATAAAAGGGCCTAATTTGACCTCTTGGACTCAGCAAGCGAAAACAGGCTTTAGGGTTCATTCACACAGAGTCAAATAAGATATTTGTTCAGAAAAATCTTTAAGTGTAAAGATTAAGCCGATAAACCTGTAATGGGTATTGTGATACTTATGTTGTGCCAGTAGAAGTGCTAACATCTACACAAAGCTAAAGAAACTAGAACAAGGAAGGTAGAATGATGTAAATGATGAACAAAAAAAATATATGTGGATCAATGATGGAGCAACAAGTAGTGTTGAATAATAAACAGCTTCTAACACTGATCTACAACTATGCAGTTAGTTGATGAATTGTTTGTATGTGTAAATGTGTGTTGGGGTGGTTAGGGCCGCAGAGCACATTGAACCATTTTCCTGAGTTTAGCTCAGACCCAAATCCAGATGGGAGGATCTCTGGTAAAGCTCTTTGAAAACTTGCTCTTATTATCGCAAGTGTAACTTTGTCAATATTTGTCTATTACATAAAGCCCAATGAAATGGATGTGGTTTTAAAGTGTGAAAACATAAAACGCGTCTTTCTCATTCTGATACCAAGTTCTTCTGTCACTACAGGCTGATTCCTGTTTTAGTAAACGGCATGAAGTACTCTGAAATCGACATCATACTGTTGAAGGTAAGAACAGTGGTCTGTTAAAACATTTGATCAGAGTAATACTGAGGGTCTACATTAAACCCACAGATTCAAAGTGTCTGAGTGAGCTGTACAGAGCTTATCAACCAGTGGGGTGCTGAGGCTTTTCTTCCTGATGTTTCAGGGTGATGTGGAAGAAGACGAGGCGGTGCCCGACAGCGAGCAGGACATCAAGCCCCGCTTCCACAAGTCACGCACGGTCACCCTGCAACATGAAGGAGGGGAGGGAGAGGAGGATGAAGACATTGAAGATGATGATGAGGACGATGATGATGATGCACTTACAGACTGGAACCTGCGTGAGTGATGAGGAATTTTGATGAAAGGAGATTTACATGTGAAGCTAATAGTTTTAGTAGATGTTTATTTTTTGGCCAATATTTGCGGCATATGCTTTTTTCTATTCAGGTGAGGATGATGGACAAATCCTAAAAAAATAGAAGAGCTTGAAAGCTCTAATGAATCAGCTTTCATTGACTGATGCATTAAAAAAATGCAAATATCTGCAGGCTGAGGTGTTTTCAACTGCTAACTGAAACCTCACTAGTTAATCAATCATTGTCACTTATTTATAGGCAAGTGTTCGGCTGCAGCACTCGACGTTCTGGCTAACGTGTTCCGCGATGAGCTGCTCCCTCACCTCCTGCCGCTGCTCAAAGGGTTGCTCTTCCATCCGGACTGGGTCGTGAAGGAGTCTGGTATTTTGGTGCTTGGAGCCATAGCTGAAGGTGAGTTGATGACCTTTTAAATCAGGGTTGAGATTTTTATTCAGTATAAACTAAATTGCTTTATGGCTATACACCTAATTCTACCACTAAAGCAATAAAATGCTGGAATTTGCATGAAATCGACCCATTTAAGCAAATGATCATTCAAGCTTTGCTATTAGCTATAGACATATGCATGTAGGGGTATTTGACTCTAGAAACATCTTATGAAAACATCTCCTTTGTCTTTTTTTATCGCAGCCACTGTCGTTGGTTTTGGTCCGTTGCTGAATAAATGGTAACCTTGTTATTTGTATTCCTATTCAGGTTGCATGCAGGGCATGGTGCCCTACCTGCCAGAGCTCATCCCACACCTCATCCAGAGTCTGAGTGACAAGAAGGCCCTGGTGCGCTCCATCGCTTGCTGGACTTTGAGTCGCTACGCGCATTGGGTGGTGTCCCAGCCCCCTGACTCCTACCTCAAACCGCTGATGACGGAGCTTCTGAAACGCATCTTGGACAGCAACAAGAGAGTCCAGGAGGCTGCCTGCAGGTGAGCAGCTTCCCTCTTCTCCACTTCTGCTGATGTGGACATGATGAAACACCCAGCTCATTGATAAAACAATGATACACGTTGTTCCCATATTGTTTGTTCTGATCCACATGCTGCATACTTCCAGAAACCTCATGAATTTGATCTAGGATGAGGAACATTAAGGATTTCTGCCTTGTGTTTTAGCTCCTTTGCCACCCTGGAGGAGGAAGCATGCACAGAACTGGTTCCTTACCTGAGCTTCATCCTGGACACTCTGGTTTTTGCCTTTGGGAAGTACCAGCACAAGAATCTCCTCATCCTCTATGATGCCATTGGGACTCTTGCGGATTCAGTGGGTCACCATCTCAACCAAGCTGTGAGTGTCTTCGTAAAGTAACAAGCCAGTCTTTCCTTTCCTTTGACCTAAAGTCAAAGTTTGGATCTTATCTGAGAAATTCAGATCACATTTAAAGGCTACAGCCCATAAAGGGGAAAGGGTTTGCACATTCACTGAAGGATTTTGATAATTTTTTGCTTTTTTTTTCTGCTTTTTACCCATTTAAGTATCAAATTAAATTAAAGTTGTTTAAGGAAAAAAAGAGTCTGATTTTTCACTTGTTTAATTCCCTAATATGTCTTTAAATCTAATCTTGGTTCTGTTTTCCAGGAGTACATTCAGAAGCTGATGCCTCCTTTAATAGCCAAGTGGAATCTGCTGAAAGATGAAGACAAGGATCTCTTTCCACTTTTAGAGGCAAGTATCTTTTTATTCATTCTTATTTGGAGATGATTAATCTAAATAAAACCATGTTAATTTCATAAGCTGTGGCGTTTAGATAAAAGCCTAACATTTGCGCTGTGATTTCTATTTCAGTGTCTGTCGTCTGTGGCCACAGCCCTGCAGAGTGGCTTTCTGCCGTACTGCGAGCCGGTTTATCAGCGCTGTGTCACTTTAGTTCAGAAGACGCTTGCTCAGGCTATGGTAGGAACAAGAACATAATCAACAAGCAGTATTTCTTTTTCTCATAAACTTGGTTTTGTAAAACCATAAAGCTTCCACCCTCTGCTGTCTCTCCAGATGTACAACCAGCAGCCAGACCAGTATGAGGCTCCAGACAAGGACTTCATGATCGTGGCTTTGGACCTGCTGAGTGGGCTTGCAGAGGGGCTCGGTGGCCATGTGGAGCAACTAGTGGCTCGCTCCAACATAATGACCCTGCTTTTTCAATGCATGCAGGTGTGACCTTTTACATGAATAGTTTGAATATTTTGTAGGAGAATTTCTATAGGTCTACAATGTTTAGTTTTAACCTGATTAACCTTCATTGTTTTTTTTTTTTTTGGCCTCAGGACACAATGCCTGAAGTGAGACAAAGCTCCTTTGCACTGCTGGGCGATCTGACCAAGGCCTGCTTTCTTCATGTGAAACCCTGCATTGGTGAGTCGCTTTAATCCCTAGAAATGGACGCGTTTCTGCTGCTCTCCTGTGTTGTCCAACATTGAGTATTTATTGATTTTATTTTTGTCTCCTTCCAGCTGAGTTTATGCCCATCCTGGGGCTAAACCTGAACCCAGAGTTTATCTCTGTGTGTAACAATGCCACCTGGGCCATCGGGGAGATCTCTATGCAGATGGGTAAGACTATTGCTCTTCCAAGTTTGATGCAGGTACATAGTTTTATCAAAGAAGTGACCAGAATCTGGACATGATGAAACACCCAGCTCATTGAACCACAATGATACTTTTTGTTCCCAAAACATTTTCTGATCCAGATCCTGAATTCTTCATATCTTCAGTCGTGTGTCATGGCCATATTGATCTAGGCCATGTTGACTACTGGCTTGTTTAGACTTAGAGATTTTATTTGTTATTTTGTACACACAAGTGTAAACAAAAAGAAATTTGGTTAAGAACAGCACTCTAGACTTAAATTTTTTTCAAAGTGAAGTGTCAACTTTGTGATGAACATTAATGTAAACATGATTGTATAGTTACAATCTCTCCTTTAACCTAAATATAAATTAATTTCTACTTGATTATAATGTGAGTTAATGCAGACATGGTTTAAAGCAGCACTATGTAACCTTTTCACCTTAATAAACCCTATTGAAGCCTCGGACTTCAGCAGCTCTTATGGCTCTGATCTGAGTCGTTATGGTAAACTGCTTTACAGCATCCCCATTTGAAGTTGTTGGCTTCAGTAGCCACATGGCTTTTTTTTAACCAAAAAAGGCTGCTTTAAACGATCCAAAATACAACCTAGACGTTTGGTCGTGATCTGTGTCTTCCAGATCCTGAAGAGTGTTGATCTTTAAGGTGCTGTTTAGCTCACAGAAAGCTGCTTACTACACTGTTATTTTAAAAAAGGTCATGCAGGGGGAGCACCACTCAAAAAAAATTGTGCTGCTTTAAACATTGTCTTAATGACATTGCATTGACAACACAAAGTATTTCCTCAGCTGTATTACATTTATGATTTCTGCTCTATGGTCTGCTGATCTTAATTTTTTTTTTATTATTTAATCATTAAAGAGTTTAGATGACAGTTTTCTTTGAAATGTTTCCTTAAAGCTTTCACACTTTTGCATCTTTTAAATGTTTTATACATTAACCAATCTAACTCGTTATCCATGTTTTAGTCTTGGATAATAAGTGGCTTAGATGTTTTCTAACTTTTAGTTTGTTTTGTTTAAGAGGTTTTCCTTTCTGATCTAAAGTTCTTTGTCTCACCCTGTTCTGTGTAGGTGCAGAGATGCAGCCTTACGTTAGTATGGTGCTGCCTCACCTGGTGGAGATCATTAACAGACCCAACACCCCAAAGACTCTGCTGGAAAACACAGGTAAACAGAGATTTGATCATAGATGCACACATGCTGTGTTGGAGAAACACCCAGAGGAGAGATGACCTGAATAACCTGTTTCCTTATGTGTAGCCATTACAATCGGCCGACTCGGCTTCGTCTGCCCTCAGGAAGTGGCACCACAGCTGCAGCATTTCATCAGACCATGGTGGGTCTTTCATGAAAGTTTTCCGTTATTTTACCATTGCAATGCTTATAAGGTTTGTGTCTAATTACAGGTGCACGTCTTTGAGGAATATTAGAGATAACGAGGAGAAGGACTCTGCTTTTCGGGGAATCTGTGTTATGATTGGTGTCAATCCTGCAGGTGTGGTGCAGGTGAGCTCCTTAATTCTGTTAGACAAGTGGCAGGTTCAAACTAATATTGTGGATCTACCTTAATGTGCTGAAGTAATGAATGAAATCTCTGCAGGACTTTATTTTCTTCTGTGATGCTGTGGCCTCATGGGTCAACCCAAAGGATGACCTGCGAGATATGTTTTATAAGGTAAGGTTTCGATCATCATGGCCTTGTGAGCGGGGTTTCCTGTTAGTCGTAGCTTACCACACTGTGATGATCACTCATCAGACATTCGAAAACTGATAACGAAGTGGGGATGATTGTGATTCTGAGAAGTGTCGTGAAATATGCTATTGTTTCCAGCCAGCTAGTTGCACTAAAAACTGGTTCTGATAGACTATTAAACCTCAGGCTTTTGATGCATTTTTAAGTTTGAAAGCTTAAATATATTTTGTTTTCTCTCCTAAGATCCTGCATGGCTTCAAGGACCAGGTGGGAGAGGAGAACTGGCAGCAGTTCTCAGAGCAGTTCCCCCCTCTGTTAAAGGAGCGACTATCAACCTGCTATGGTGTCTAATCCAACCCTTGCTCCACTGACCTGTCAAGTAAGTCCTGGTTAAAAGAACCTACAAGACGACAGTTTCTGGATGTGATGACACACCCAGCTCATTGAGAACTAATGATACATTTTGTTCCCAAACACATTTGTCTGATCCAGAATCCCAACTTTTTCACCAATACGGGTGTTTTCTCTGACAACATAGATTTTGACTGTTTTCTTACTTTCTTACAGGTTCATGAAGGGGGAGGGTAACAGGGGAACTCACTGCACTGCCCAAATCATGGGGAGAAATTCGAGCCGGAGGGATGTGACTGGCCCCCGATTCTCCAGTCTGCGGACGGCCTCCTTTTCCCCTGCGCCCAGTTTGTCTCTGAGGGAGGGTGGGATGAGGGCGGTAGTTAAGGGGGGGTTAATACAGGGATATTTACGTATACCTCTCTAATAAATGCCTCACTGCTAGAAACTCAAAAGTGACTTTTGCCAACTAAAATCCAGGGATCTTAGGTAGGCGGGGGTGGGGCAGAGTTTAGACCTCCGTCTCCACGATTGGGTTGTTCATACAAGTTAGTGAAGTCTGGATGGGGAGGGGTTGGGCTGATGGGTACAAAATAATAATTATCCAAACCAGCAAAATACAAAGCATGTAGAAAGCTCACATGTAGCTGTTTTAAACAGTAAAAGGATCCTTTTACCTCGCACCTTTTTCCCGGCACACGCAAGTCTTTGTTCATATGTACGTTTAGTCGGAATTCTTAATTTCCTTACAAACCGTAGGACTTTTATTTCTTTCCCGTCAACAAAAGCCGTAAAGGTTTAAGCCATCCCAGGTCCATGAAACTATACTGCATATAATCTAGGCTTAAGTTGCATGTTTATGTGAATGTCTTTATTTATAGCATTAATCATCAGTTTTCAGTCTAATGCTTGGTTCAAGTTTCCCCTGCAATCATTCCCATCCCTCCCACCCCCCATTAGGTTTAACTAAGGTTGTTTGTGTTCAGACAGACTATAGATAAGTTGAAGAATAAACTACTGTTTGATGGTTAATGCAGCAACTTAATAAAACTGTAAGCAGATCAAGAATTAACTTTGCTGCTGTGGCTTCGTTGTCGTGATATTTAGGAAATGTCACCAAGGATGAATTCTTACTGGTATAGATGCACTTTTTCTCCTGAGAAAATAGAATTTCTAATGGAAGACGTACGGTAATAATATACTGAATTTGTTAAGCCTGTTTTGGATAAGGGATATTTTTAGGACTGCTGTAAGCAAAAAGATAACGAAAATTTAACACTCAAGAGGGGCTATAGGTTTATAATGCAACAACGAAAAGGGGATGAATAGGATTTTAGGAAGAAGGCAGTACTCATCAGAAAACGTTTCCTTGTCCGAGTTGAAGGGGGTAGAAATGCACCAATCAGGTTTCATTGCCATTATTTTTATAAAGCTTTGAGCAGCGGCAATTTTGGTGGATTTTGGTTTATAAAATATTTGTATTTCACAGATACAAGTGTTTTGTATTTGGATAGTCATGCCATATATGTGCAATTATCAACAGTCGCTGTACAATATAGATTTCCTGTTAAACCAGAATATCATATAGAAGCGTTAAGCTTAACTAAAGCAACAGTCTGCTTTTGTATTTCCTAAAGAAATATAGATCCTTAAGGCGTTGATGGGAGCTGTTGTGCTTCTATTTGTACCGTTTCTAACTCTGGTCACTAAGATATGAAGTTTTCATGGAAACCTCCCATGGGGTTATAATGTGCTGGTTTATATCCCCCCTCCATTAAAGGAAAAGAGAATAAAATGTTTTATCTTTGAATATTAATCCAGTTTGGTTCTTTGTGGTTCTTTAATGAGTAATTATCCACACTGCAATGGCAGATTTCTCTCTGCTGCATTTGCTTAAATAGCTTTTTTTTCTTTTTTTTTTTTTTTTTTTGTTCTGCTCTGGTTTATTTGATACACTTTACAGAAGAGTAGTCTAGGAAGCAAAAATAATACATCTTGATACTGATTTGTAAACATTTACAAATCCACTGTTGGAGGTTTTAGCCCTGGAAGGATCTGAAAGAAATGAAATCAGAGGAAGCTCTCATTCTAATTCCCTTATTAATCTCTTACTGTTAAAAGCATCTTGCAAGAAGGGTGTTGCAAATGTTCACTGACCAGATATTCCAATTATTTTTCTCGGCACGTCTCTAATCACAGTTTATTAAATTGCAGTTGCCATTAACTTAAAGGGGTTTATCTGCTTTCTGCTGTACTTTGGTTATCCAGCTTCTGAAACTCGTGAATAATGTTGCCATGCCCCGTTGATACTGTTTAGGTTATGTCTGGGATTATTGGGAGTCAATTTAGTTTTGATTACACTGGTTACCTTATCTATGGGAGTGTTGGTGTGTTTCGGTTTAGCTTTTAAGTTCTTGTCTATAGTTGATTAAAACGAAAGTGTCTGTGTGTGTGTCGGCCTTTGCCTGTTTGTGACGTTGACAGAAGTACTTCCTAGACATAATTTTCTGCAAGCCCTATTTGAAATTATTCTAGGGAATACAAGCTGATTCACGCCTGCCTCATGTAGCGCTCTGTTTGTTTGCCAGCCAATAAGTAATTCTGTTTTTCAATGTGCATGGACTTGAAAAGCTAAAGATGAAGGCGTTTTCGGAAAGAAAACTTTAAAAAGCAAATTCTATTCCTGCCTAATTAAACCAATGTAACCCTTTTTGGATTATGCATTATATAGGTTAATGTGATTCATTTTTTTTCCATAAATGTGATGACTTTTTATTTATTTTCTTTTTTAATTGCTGATAGTGTTTTTGAAAACCTGAAACCACTTTCAGAAGCCCGCAGTGAGACCATGGCTCTTTTTTTAGATGTAAAAGGAAGTGATGGCCGGGGCTCACAGGTCAGGATTCAATGCAATGATGCATTTGGCTTAATAAAATGATTTAGTTATCACGTTCAACAATAGCAATATGCACAAAATGTCTTCAATGCAAGTTTTTTTCTTTCTTTTTTTTTTTTTTTTTTAAGGCTCATTGCATTTTTTTTATCTATTTATTTTACTTTTGGTTTTCTATATTGTGCAGTGGTGCACAATTTTTGTTTTGGACTTTAAAAGTTTTTTTTCTTTTTATTCTTTTTATTTAAAGAGCGGTTTTGTTTTACAGCTTCTCATCTGATTATGTTAAACTTGATGTGGGCTGATGGCAAGTCGATGCTGGGAGACTATTTGAGGAGGAAAATGGAAAGCAGATCTTTTCTATAAAGCTGGCAAAAGAATTGAATAATTTCTTCTAGCTGAATTGTGGTGTAGATAGGATTTAATCTAATATTTGTAAAAGTGGGGAAGGTATTTTCCTAAAGAGCTTTGAGTCTGCTAAAAGTTTTGTACCGTAAATGATGCATGTATAGAACAATCATTGTATTGAGAGTAACATAGCTATGTTTGGATTATGTGCCACTGCACCTGATATTTGGAATAAATGCCATTCTCAGCGGATACTTAGGATGTTTGTTCTTTTTTCCTTTGGCTATTAAATTTCTACAAAATAAAACCTAAATGAACATCCAGGAGTTGTACTGATATTTATTTGTCTAGAATACAACATTTCTAGTATAGATACATCTCACTACAATGTTGACCTGCTAATATTCAGTAAACTTACAGAAAGTACAATTATTTGAAAGCCAGACCAGTAGAAACTATTTAAAAAGGGACAAATCTCAAAAGATTTAAATTTCTAAAGCATATCAAAACCAACCTGGCCCTGTGTTACCCTCATATACACGCATACGCTGCATGATTCAGGCATGAAGTGCATCGACGCATGGAGGCCAACTAACCTGGAATCAGGCTCAACTGTAAGATGGCCACTTTTCCTGAAGCTCATGAAACCAAGAACCTTGTGTATTAAATTAACAAAATCATTTGAAATATACTTTTTTTTTTTATGCCATTATAGATTACTGCAATGTATTTAAGTCTAGTTTCCTAAAAGGGAAAACACTTAAACTATGCCAGTATGATGGGGAACTTTAGATAATAAAATAAATATATCAGTCCCCAGTATGGAGAATTGGCTAGGAAGGCATTCATGACATTGGCTGTGAATGTGTCAAGGGTTTAGAATAAAGATACTTTCAAATAAAAAGGACAGTTCCAAACACCTGCATCTACAAATGAACAGGAATATGCCCAATTATACCAAATATTTTACATTTATTACATGTTCAGTTTATAGGGTACCGCTGAGTGGCAAAGGGTGAACAAACGGATAAAGACTTTTCAGGTTTAATTTTAAAAAAGGAAATCGATGAATGCACTGAAATCATGATGGGAGCCGCCATATTTTCCCACTCACAGGGCGTGTTTCCGTTTCCGACTATCAGCGTCGCACAATGACGTCCGCGTTTAAATCTTAACCAAAATCTATTCAACGCTGCTCTAAAGATACATTTACACTCAATCTATTGCTATAACAAATTATAATAAAAATTAAAATAATTTAGGCTACAAGAGAAACTAACACAAAGAACAAAGGTAAATGGAAAACACCCGGCTAGTAGGTGACGTCATATTTGCGCGTCGACAGTTTTGTTTTGAACGTTGGATCGTTTCAAAATAAGTGGGCTAGAGGAATCTTGTTCTGGATATTTTAATTTCATTTCAACCTAATTACGCATGACAACTTTTTGCTGATAATATTTAAAAAAAAACACCAACCTTTGCGCTTACAAAATGTATATATATATTTAAGTTATTCTGATGTCAGGGACTAATTCAGGGCGTCTGTTGTAAAGTAATGTTAATGAGTCATGTTAGTTTACAGTCGATGAGTGAGTAATCGTAATAGGGAAAAGAAATGTCTGAATCGGGGAAACAAGCTTCGGATGCATCATTTCCTGACCAGTTGAAACATCAACGCCCTGGCAGCTCTAACGTGGACCTCCAGGGGTAAAGCTTTCTTTTTCTGCCTCTTTGTTTATCGACGTGATGCCATAAGTCAAGACTCACTTTGTTTGTTCTCCATTTCCTTTCAGTCTGCCGTCCTCTCTTGGCTCACCACCAGCAGAGGCTATCCGATCTCCATCTGCAGAATCGAGCGACTTGTTGTCTTTACCATGGGAGATCATAATCCACATTGCCTCATACCTTCCAGCACATTGTGTAGTAAATGTGCTGCCAAAGGTTAGATTGTCAAACGGTGCTCCTTTAATCACATCATCATGAAATTTTACCTTAATGAAGCGTTTTTTCAGGCTGTTTTATCCTTGAACTTCCGTAGAATTTGGATTTTAGTGTGTTTTATTGAAATATGTGTGAGGAAAGGAAGGTAAAATTATACATGACTTGTATTTATTTTACTTCTTATATAAAAGCATTCTGAATAGGTGGGTCGAAGTCAGCATGACAATATAGACAACCTCTATTTTTTTTCACTGACCAGGAGAGCATTGGTCAGAGAAATAGCCCAGAGGTTCACTTTCCAGCTGAAAGACAACCATACATATAGCTGAAGCTATGCTGGTGAAGATTATCGGTGATCCAGATCATAGTCATTCCAAAAAAAGTGAAAAAACAATCCACTGGACTTTGTTTCCAAGATTGAAGACGTTTCGCTTCCCATCCTGGAAGCTTTTTCAATTCAAAATGTCAGAGAGTTGAGTCGGAAGCTTTATAGAGTAGTCTAACAAAGCCTTGTATTAGCTTAGAAAACAGGCACATTGAACCAGAAGAATGGTTCTGCCCCTTAGGAATGGGGAGTCGTTTGGGTCCCTTGTTAGCCTGCAATACCTGAAACTGGTCTATGCCTCTGAAATAGGGGCCGTTAGAGGAAATTGTTGGCCTGGCTGACCAGGCCAGATGTTTTGTTCCCCTGCATGGAGGTTTAGATGATCGCAGGAAGGGATCAACTATCACTGCTTTGTAGGTTTTTGAGGTTGCTGAAACCTGAGTCCACCCCCTCTGTTTAAGGTTCGTTTTTCTTTCCTAACATGAATCGCTTCCTTCCTCTCTTTCTAAGCCAAAACAAGCTTTTTAAGCTTTGTTTTTGGTCAATTCTATAAAGCTTCGAATTCGACCCTAATTCTGACATTTTGAATTGGAAACAAAGTCAAGTGGATTGGTTTCAACTTTTTATTTTTTATTTTTTGGAACAGCAAGAGCTACAATAAAAGGGTCAAAATTTGAAAATGGATGTTGGAAAAATCTCTCTATCCAACCTGTTTGCTCTTAAGCTGATTAACAATGTAGGTTTTATTTTATTTTCTTGCAACCTCACATGTCCTGTTCTTTAATGCTCTATCAGATATCCCAGTAAAATATTTTGGAGTTTAAAAACATAAGACAAAAGTGAAAAAGTTCAAGGGTGATGAGTGCTTTAGCAAGGCACTTTAATGTCTTTTTTTTTTTTTTACTAATGCTGCTTTCGTGAATGAAGAGACCCTTTTTTTTAATCTTGTTTCAGGTGTGCCGCCTTTTGAGTACTGTTGGTGAAGACGTGACAGCTTGGCAGCTACGGGCACATAGACTAATTGGATTTAGAGCAAGATTTCCAGTTGGACCGAGGGAGGACTTTAACTGGCTCAATTCTTGTCTGGAGATGGAGCATCTCATTACCTGCTGGGCAGGTGAAGTGCAACATGTGGCTGAACGATTGGAGGAGAATCAGGAGGAAAGGGATCAAGTGAGGCCGCAGGAAAGAGAGCTGGTTGCTGGAGGACATGATAATGAAGCAGATGAGGGTGATGGGATGGCAGTGGCAGCCCAGGAAGTTGCTTATGCTGCTGATGAAGGTGTAGAAGTAGCAGTGGAAGCTGAGGATAATGAAATGCAGCCGGTGTTTGATGGAGACCAGATGGCGATGTTGAGAGAGGAGTTAGAATGTAGGCTGGAGGTTGGTGCAGCTGCACTAGTTGGAAATGAAAGGATGTGGCTTAATGCAGATGTAGGGGAAAATGTGCCTTATCCAGAGCAAAATGACCCTTCCCACCTAAGAAATATGAATAACAGAGGATGTGTAGAAATGATCCCACATCAATCCGCCAGAAGTCCTAGTCCTCCCCTAGCACTGGAGTGCATTACTCTACCCTCAAGCCACATCGCTGCGGTCAACTCTGTGCTCCTCCTCGGGGGGAGAGGTGCGGTCTGTGCCACAGCGTCCAGAGACTATGATGTGAAACTCTGGGACGTTGAGGCAGGCTCTGATGGTGTGCTGCTGAACAGGCTGGGAAAGAAGGGGGACTTCACCTCTCATCGGGGCTGGGTCTGGTGCCTGGCGTCCCAGGGACCGCTTTTAGCGTCAGGGGGCTTTGATAGCACAGTGAGGCTGTGGGACTTACAGGAAGGTGGCAGAGACAGAGGCCTGATCAGGGCCTCAGCGCCTGTCCTCTGCTTGTCCTGTCAGGGGGATGTCTTACTGGCCGGGACCTTTGACAAGAGGATCAATATTTACGACACTAGAGGTAAGGTCAGGTCACACATTGTGCTATGGAAGTATTTTCACTTCTTAAACCTTGTTGGTTTTTATTTCTTTCTCTTCAGTAAAATGTGATATATTTAGTAAAACTCTTACCCTGCCGCTATGCTTTGGTCAGACGCTTTCTCCCCAGCTCCCTTGTCTGCTTGCAGTCGTTTCCCCTTTTATTTCCCCTCTCTTAGCTCTTACCTCTGTCATTTCAATCACCCCCAGAAGAAGGACCCATATAACATATAATCTAATCAGCTATCAAGGAAATAAGAAAAACAAATTAAGTCAAAGTGATAAATGTTAAGTATGGAAATGAAAGCATCCTATTGGTTACTTAAAAAACAGCCATTAGACCGAAGGTCTGCAACTTTCAAAATCAAAAGAGCCTGCCCTAAGTCCGCCTTAATAAAAGTTACTTAGAGCCACAAATATTACATGATCTTTTAATGAAACACAACAGTTTTGTTAAATAAATATCTGTTATCTGAAGTCAGTTGCCATTTTAAACAACCAACAGTTTTATTTATACTTTTAGGCTTTAAAACAAGGGAAAGCATATTGAGTTCCTTTCATAAAAAAGGGAGAGTGTTTTTTTTTTTCAATTTATTTTTTGATGTGTAGTAAAACAAAAATTTAATGAACAAAAAAGGTGTAATTGCCAAGGTAGATCATGTTTCCAGCACTTTTGATGTTATTCTTGTAAAAAAAAATCTTTTTTTAAGAAACGAGCTAAAGCTTCTAAGACTGTTATTTGTTATTAAACTATATTCATAATCATTAGTGGGCTTATGTATAATTTTTAGCCTCTATTAAGAACCATGGTAGAGTGTCCATGGAGCCACTTGGCGGCTCCGGAGCCACAGGTTGCAGGACCCTGGATTAGACTGACACACAGCTGACTATCATCACCTAGGATTAGAATCAGGATCAGAAAATGAGAATATACCTACTTTCTCTTGGCGTAAAGCCGGCTAACAAGGAGAACCCAACAGTACAGAGAAACGTCTCTTCTACATCAGAATAACAGAAGATGAAAGTAAGGGCCTTTCTTCACATCGTATGATAGTAGGTAACCAGATTGGAATATTTGGATCGTGCTTCATAAAGGTTATCTTCACCTCGATGTGACTCTTGACCTCCAGGAAAAGGACCCACCTCCTGTCAGTATGCAGAAGTGTAGTCCAACCTTTCTTTCACTGCCTCTGTTATCCCACTGCATGTTTCTATTGATTCACAGCACTTTCAATGTCTTTGCTCTATGTGAAAAAACTTTCCTTTTCTTTTATAAAGTAATAAATTGATGGTTTATCATACAGATTGTCTTGTCAACTTTCACAAAGGACTTCTTTGTTTTTGTTCAGCTCCTGAGCCTCTGATTAAAAGCGTCGGTCTCCATGGTAATGCTGTATTGTGTCTGGCTGCGGATGATACGTATATCATCTCTGGCGGCAAGGACTGCACTGTGGCCGTCTATGATCGCAGGGCACTGAAAGCATTGAAAAAAATTAAGGTAGCACGCGACTTAACACTAATATTACCATCTGTGATTTTTGTTTCTTCAGATTTAAGGCTTATAACCTGAACATTTCTCTCTGCAGATGAGCTCCTTCTTATCCTCTATGAGCTACAGTGGCCATGAGGTCTGGGCTGGGGACAACAAAGGCATGCTGCGCTGCTTTTCCATGCAGACCGGGACCTTAAAGCCCCTCTCCCAGTTTGATGTAGGTCACACAGCTCTGGTAACAGGTATCCACAGGACTCAAGGCAGCCTCTACACCTGCTCGACCGATAAAACTCTCAAGGTGAGTTTCAGGGGTGGATTTTTTTGTAATTTGGATTATTAACCCAGTGCTGCTTATAAACAGCTCTATTACTACTTCCCTGTTTTGCAGATCCATATCCCCAGTGGACCACCAAAGACTTTGTGTACACTCTGTCATCCATCTGTAGTCCATGGGGTCAGTTCTATAATTGTTTTACAAACCTATCAACGGTTAATTACGATAATCATTATCCATAGCAAAATTATCTGATTGCATTATGGACTATGATGAGAGGAAGCAGCCCATACTTTTACTCTTGGTCAATTAGTTACTAAGGAGTGAGCATCATGTAACCCTAATATAAGCCCCATAGAAGGTGTATGAATAGAGCAATTTCGATCAATATTTAGGCTTACAAGGTAACGTCATTGATACCAGTAGGTGAAATTTGTTTTGCAATTAGAACAGTGCAAACCAAGTCCTTAACAGTGTAAACGCTAGTGACCTTTCCTGCCCTCAGCTTCACAGTTTAAATTTTTATCCAGTGAAACTCAATTTCCTGTCCCTTGATTTTGATTAATTCATGTTTGCAGGTAATTTTCCTCAAAATGGCTTATAGTAAATAGAAATAATTTAGGTACTTCTAATTGATGTAAAACCGGAGCGGTTTGATGTGAATGTCAGGCAGTGAGGGAATAAAATCTGTGTTTTTTTTATAGTGTTTAAATGTCAGGTTTTATATTAGGCTTCTACTTTTTAATAAAGCTTTTATGAGAACATCAGAAGTTTAAACAATGACCTTAACTTGAGTTTATTTTTCTGTCTCCCTGTCGCCCTGCTGTGGTTTCTGTCAGCTGAGTGTGGAGGCTGGAGTTCTTGCGTTGGCTTCAGGTGACGCTACGGTCAATATCTGGAGACCCGGGAAGTAAAACGTCACTGGAGGGTTGAAAGAAAAGAAAAAAGTGCATCTTCACTTGTTGACCAATTTTTTTTTTTTTTGTCTTCATTGTAAGTTTTAAATTGAGTTCAGTTGGTGATGAAATGTTAATACATGCTGGATATTATCTGTAATGAAAGGAATGGTGGAAATCAATGAAACCTGCACATATAAGCTTATTCTAACATATTGAGAAGAGATATGATTTGTCAAAGTCAAATAGGTGTGGTATAAAACACTTAAAAATATAAACTAAGAAACATGACAAACTGACACAATTAAAATGAAATTATTACTTTTAGAGAGTGAGTTTAAACTGGTGTAACATGGTTTAGAATGACCGTAATTGTACCAGATAAGACAATTATTAGTTTTTCTATCTTCTAAATATACACATTTTTGGAAGCTTCAATTTTTTTTTTTTGCACTCTCAGTTGTTTACATGATAAACTTATTTTTAACGATGTTTCTGTTGTGTTGAGACTATTTATTATTATTAAGTGTTTTGTATGTTTTATTCATTTCAGGTTAAAAAACCCCCAAAGAAACCACAATTATTTAAGTGTTTATTGTATTTAAACATTCACAAATAAAATCACAATGAACGATAAAAGATTCTGCTTTTTTTTGTTTTTGTGAGACCAGCTGGTCCTCCTAGTTGAACAGATGAGGCAGCTCGCAGTCAGCTGTGTTTCTGGTATCTGATCTCTTCTTGTATCAAAGCAGCACGCATGTCTTCTTATCTTTAAAGGGGTTGGATGAGGCAGATATGCCGGTGAGGAGAGGATCGCTGCGTCTGTGCTCCTGACAGTATTGGACTAAATCAGCTGCTGTGAGAGAGATCTGATCGCACAAATAACAGATATGAGTTCAAATAGTAACAAATCTGGTAAAATAAAGTCATGTCTTTGTTTTTTAAAAGCATAACTATTAACTTAAAAAAAAACAGGAAAAGGATACAGTTTGAAATTCACCATGTTATAACAAGTTTTTTTTTATATTGAATTTAAACGTACCTTGAATCTTTCCATGCCTGCCTCGATTTGGAGTTGATCCACCAGCTTTTGAGCCTGAATAATGCTGTTGCTGCTACTGGTCATTGTTCCTGGCCCCACCAAAGCAAAACGCTTTACAGGCTGAAGAAATGTTGATTTGTAGGGATTCAGAGGAATATTGTACCTGATGGGACGAATCAGCTTTAGTTGTACAGCGGGGTCTGCTCTAACAGGCTCCTGGCTTGGTCTTTTGACCCATAGCCTCCCTTTTATTCTCTGCTGGGGGGAGTTTCAAAGGCTGTGATTTAAAAGGTCTCACAACCCCTTTTTTTTTTTTTAAATGTCACAAACATCACACATAACTTCACAGCAATTGATGATGAAAACATTATTCTGACTCTGTGTTAAAGTTTGTAAAAAGATTGAGAAATTTTTGAGCATAAAGCATATTTTACAGGATTCTACAGTATATACCACTATATAGGCTGCTGGACTTTTGTGGTCAGACCATATAAATACAAGTCTAAAAAGACTAATTGGAATAAACAATGCATTGAGAGAACCATTGAACAGGCAGAATTACACCAGTGTAGGTAAGATGTTTGTGAGAGAATTAGTCAGCACTCTGCAGGCAGGAATCTATGTATTTATCATGCCTAAATGTATATGCATTTTACATTAATCTATAAGAGAATTTGAATATTATGGGATTAATAAACTTGAGCTCCATACAGTACAATTCCCAGCTGCAGAACAGTTCTGGTTCTCTTTTTGTTTTATATAATGTGCACTAATTTTTGATGACTACATGTTTAAATCAGCTTGAAGCTGGATATTGGATATTCAAGCTCAACCTAAACTAATTTGACAAGCAAGTAAATTATTGTGTGAAAGGAGAGGAGAATGTAATGAGTAGCAATATTACAATACAGATCAAAAAATAAGACTGAGCTTTTTCCTTCCAATAGCATCAAGGGTTTGCATCATCTGTCCCATCTAGGAGAATAATTTCAGACAGATTTTGAGTCAGTGGGTCACATGACCTGCAAGCTATTGAAGAAAAACATATTCGAATAAAATAATATCTTAAAACATATGTTTATAACTTAAAAAATTAAAATGCAAATGTTTTGAAAGGCTTTTTTTTGTCCCCCACTGCACCCCCTGCTGGTCGTTAAAGGGATAGAATAGGTGTGACTCCACAGATTCAGTCTCTTTTGTCCGCTCGTGCTTTCCGTAGTCCAAGTTTTACATTAGCAACCCATGCTATGTTTACAAGGCTATTCATCCTTGATTTCTGTGTCATCAAGCACTGTTTTAGAAGTGAACTATTTAACCTCTTTCAACACTAACGTCGTTTGAAGAAGAGGTATGTTTAATGTTTCAGTTTACTTTGAAGTTAGAAGATCAAACAATTGCTACCAGCTAGCATAGCAGCACTGCTAATGTCAGAGCACATGGATCTGGCTTGTTTATATGTGTATACATATATTATTCTTGGGGGTCTTTCTTTACCCTTTGTACTCTCTTAAGTCCCCTCCCTATATAGTTTATATATGTTCATAAAATATTTATACGTTTAAAAAAAATAATTACACAAATTGTATGACATATTCTAATGGTGCAGTTAAAGAGCAGCTAGAACAGCACAGCAGTGTTTAAGTTCACGTTTTACTGGAAAATAATGAGGAAATACATCATATATATTTCAACTACATTTCTGACAGCTTCATAAGTGTTTTCTCAAAGTTTTATATAGGTGTTTTTTTTTCAGTTAAAAATGGCGGACCATGCCCCCTCTGTTGCCATGGAAGCAGTTCTGAAGCCCAGCTCTGACCTCCCGGAAGATATGCCGAAAATCCGAGGCTACGACTTCAACCAGGGCGTTGATCTGAAGGCGCTGCTGAAGACCTACCTGAACACAGGCTTTCAGGCCAGCAGCTTTGCTCTGGCTGTCCAGGAGATCAACAAGATGGTGAGAGAAGGAAGAGGCTTTTAGGGCAGAGGGACTGAGCTGGAGAAGCATCCATCAGGCCTTTCATATCTCTCCCAATTTAGATTTGTGCAATTCATTTCCCCCCTTGGAATGATGGGAGTTTTAGTTTTGATGCATAAAAAAAAGAAACAATGGCAAAAAAATCTAAATTATTGGTAATGACTGTTAGCGCTAATGGAAAAAAACAAAAACAACAAACACTGTAGGTTATACTCAGTTCTTGAAGGCCAGTATCCTGCAACGTCTCCCTGAGTATGCAGTCAATTCCTCCTGAGTCCTCTTAATTATGTAATTACTTGATTCTCGCAATGAATCCTGAGATATCCAAGCATAGCGAGGATACATCGGACCCGTCCTTGAAATCGGGCAAAAATGAGAAGCATTTGTAGGCCGCGTAACGAGGATTCTTGGAATCTGACCAGACCTCGGCGCAGCTATTACGTAATCGTCGTTCATATCTGCATCACATTAATTCGAACAGAGCAATCGTGTGGGTTTGGTCCTAAACAGATGAGTGGTACATGGCATAAAGATTCTGCTACAGTCTACACACTGTGGCTCACATTTGGACTTATACAGGAAGCAAATATTTCTAAAGAAAAATGTTTTATACTGGAATCTCTTGGAGGTCTGTTTCTATGTCTTAGCAGAAGAGGTACAGCAGCAGCCATTCAGAATGGCCCTTCCCAGTCAAACGCCAACTGAGCGGCAGCCCACTTCCCTCTAACTCCCAGCAATATCCCCTCCAACTTCCAGCTACTGTGACTCCAGTGAGCCCCTCTTGCATAGTTTTTTACTCAGACTCCACCCTTTAACTGAATTACAGGATCTGACCAGGAGATGACTTCTCTTTAGATCTTAATGTCCACAAATCATGACAGAAAGAATATTTTAGTACAAAGACTGCATTCTATTTCCATTTATTATAACACTGATCAATGTTTTGGCTCATTAGCTTTCCATTTCACACAGGAGAAATTTTTCATGCAATGACCATAAAAAATAAAAAGCTGAAACAAAGAAATGTTTCTCAGTCTACCTACAGCGATCCATTCCCGATATATTTGACATGTTTCTCAATATTTCTCATGAGCAGAAAGCAGAACAGCATCTTGTTCATAGCATGTCATTTAGGAGTCAAGGTGGGATTGAATATTTTTTTGAATTTGGTTCTTTAAAACATTTAACATTTTATTTTATGCATTAGATTTCTTCTTTAAAAGTTGCACAAAATAACTCTAGAAGATTGTACAATAAAAAACAAACATAAAAACCAGACAACAAATAAATAAACAAACAAATACTACAAAAAATCCTGAAATACACATAAATCAAACCTGCTTTGTTTTAATGTTTTTTTTGTGTGCAATAAATACTATTTATAACACACACAGATAGAGAAACGCCTCGAGCTGTCAGAGCTAGGTGAAGAAAATGAGTCTGAGGAGTACTGCGAATCCTCAGGCAAGTCCGGCTGCACCATCTTCCTGGGATACACCTCCAACCTCATCAGCTCTGGAGTGAGAGAGAGCATCCGCTACCTGGCAGAGCACAAAATGGTACAGACGGGTTTGTTCATGCACACCTAAAATGATTAAACCATACGAGGTGAATGCAGCGGTTTATATCTGCCTTGTTTTTAGGTGGATGTGATTGTCACCACAGCTGGAGGCATTGAGGAGGATTTCATCAAGTGTATGGCTCACACTTACTTGGGAGATTTCAGTCTTCCTGGCAAAGATCTGCGCCTGAGAGGCATTAATAGGTTGGTAATGTCTGGTGGGGTTCTCTGAAATGTAAGTAAAGAGCATTCCTACATTTAAAGGGAGAAAGAAGATGGAAAAAATTGGCTTGGTGGCTTAAATTGATGGTTCCTCTGCTGGAACCATGTGGAAATGATGGGTGTAAAGAAGGCCTGCACCAAGAGAAAAGATGAAACTGCCTGGAAAACTGAAAAAGGAAGGGGGCGGAGCTAAGAGCACAAAGCTCAAGTACAGCAGAGAGGGGAGGGAAGTGCTACATTTTCAGTTAAACTTTCGACCCTTATTCTCATGTTAGAGACCAAATTCTGCAGATCTCTCTGCACCATTACTAAACAGCACAATATGTATATATTTTTTTTCTTTGGGCACCTCAAAAATTTTTATCTCACAGAAAATTGCAAAATAATCAGATTTAAATAGGATTTTTTCAATAAAAAGAACAATAACCAAGATGCAGGGTAAATTGTCCTTTGATTGTTTCCCGTCTGTCTCCCCCTTCTTTGTTTTCACTGACTGTAGAATAGGGAACCTTCTGGTGCCCAATGATAACTACTGTAAGTTTGAAGACTGGCTGATGCCCATTCTGGATCAAATGTTACTGGAGCAAAACACAGAGGTGGGTAACAAGGTTGTCGTTCAGATATTTAAAATGTTTGCTCTGTATATAATTTATTTTTTTGATAGTTTCTGACTTAAAATGAAACAAATATTGTTTGTTTCAGGGAATCCGGTGGACTCCCTCTAAAATGATCCATCGGCTCGGTAAGGAGATAAACAACCCTGACTCAGTCTACTACTGGGCTTACAAGGTTGGCGCTAAATAATGAAATGATCCATGCAACTTATCCTGTGTGCATCAGCCCAGATTGCTAAATGTTGTGTTTTGGGATTCAGAATAACATTCCAGTGTTTAGCCCTGCACTCACTGACGGCTCTCTGGGCGACATGATCTACTTCCACTCGTTTAAGAACCCCGGCCTTGTTCTGGACATCGTAGAAGGTAAAGGCAGAAGTGCTTTAACATAGTGATGTCAGTTTAGTGGTTCGGGTTGTTAATTTAAGTTTGGTTGTTTTTTTTTTCAACAAGATATTCGGAGGCTGAATGGGATGGCAGTTTTTGCCAAGAAGACGGGAATGATCATCCTGGGAGGAGGCTTGGTGAAGCATCATATAGCCAATGCTAACCTCATGGTAAGTAAAAATCTGTGTTCCTTTGTTCAAACCTTGTTTTTAGCCATGTGATTTAAATGTATAGTGGAGGATGTTCTTTTTCGGGGTGGGTCATCAAAATAAATGGTCCTACTAATTGTCAGTCATTCTGTTGTTCTGGTGATATGTTTATGTAAGGCTGTCCTACGTGCTCGTCCCCATTTTCACTTATGTGGTGAGTCTGACATAGTGGAAAAATTACAATTTTTCTTTTGGAAAGTAAGCTTGTATGAGCGATGCAAACAGAAACTTTAAACAGAGGGTGCATGAGGAAAAATGGGCTTGTGCACGCTCTTGCATGTGTTTAATAGGTGTTCTCTCTCAGGAATGGGTACAGGGTTGTGCATGTGCAAAAATTCGCGAAAATCCTCCTTTATACCTTTAAATGTGTATTTATTATTTCTAAAAGCTTTCCTAAAAAAGCCCACAAGGGTTTTGTGATAATATTTTACAGAGTAATAAAGTTTATTCCTGTAAAGACAACCTGAAAAAGTTTCCTTCCTTTTCTTTGCCTATCTTTGACATGCTTTCAGAGGAATGGAGCTGACTACGCTGTATTTGTGAACACGGGCCAGGAGTTTGATGGTTCGGACTCAGGGGCCCGACCTGATGAGGCTATATCCTGGGGAAAGATCAGAACAGACGCCAAACCGGTCAAGGTACACATCCTCCTGTGCATCTTACTGTAGCTTCCACTGCGGCCGCTTGGCTGTTTATTTAGGTTGTTTTGTAGCTTCTGTTTCCTTTAGGCTTGTCCTGTACTTGGCATCAATCAACTCTTCTTTCCTTGCTGAAGAAAATATCTCCACAGCATGCTAATGCCGCATCATGTCTCTCCATGGGTCAAAGCACCCAGTCCAGGAAGCCTGGGTTCTTTGGAGGACGGAGCCGTTGATTTCAACACAGCTTTGCTGCTCTGTCCCTTCCAGCAGCAGCACTGGTGGTTTCAGTGGTTTTCACTGAGGGCTGTCAGAATACAGACGTTTAAAAAAATGCACTCTGCTTTTTTAATATTTCTTTTCTTTTTTTTCCTTTTTTTTTTAGTTAAAACGTCTCAAAACTATTTATCAATTGGTCATTTTATAAAATGCAGCTGCCTTGCAGCAGGAAGAAGCTTCCTGCCTGAAATTTGCAGGTTCTCCTTGAGCATATTTTGACGGGATGTTTTCTGAACATTTATTATTTAAGGTTCAATAATTTAGCTTTTATTTTATGAACACCAACAATATTGATTTGGGTATTTCACCTTATATTACATTTATTTCTAGAGATCACTAGACATAAACACTACAGAGCTGCTTTTAGCAATTACACACTTTAGCCTCTAGGTGGCATTGTTGGATTAAGGCTTGTGCTGTAATTATAGCTGTTAGAGATTTAATCTAAGGTCCACATATAAACACAGCCTTTATTTTTGTATTTTTAAAATTAAACCTACAGTAAGCCCCCCAATTTATGAATACCCTGACAGATTTAGATTGTGTTTCCCTTCTCACTTCCTTTAATAAAAGAATTGAGATGGGCAAACCCTCAAAAGAAACTAAAACTATGTATGTTTTCTAAGTTTAACATTAAGTGACATTTTATTTATTTTTAAAAGCACATCGGAGCTCATGTGTACCCCCTCTCAATAAGCAATTGAAATGATGTTATCCACAGTGCAGCAGTCAAACCCTCCTTGTAATGCCTGACCAGCTTTCTGATGATTTCTCTTGAGCTCAAACTCTGAGGTGGGAGGCCTCCTTCCCATCACCCTAATCTTTAACCCCCTCGACAAATTCATTACCAAATCCCACTTTGGACATTAAAGCGTGTTTTTTTGCTCCAGTCAATACTAAATAAGACATGATCAAATTAAAAGATGAACCTAAATCTACCAAGGATATGAATTACCCCTGGTTTAACACAAATGGCTGTCCCATGAAGTAGTTACTATGATCTGTTCTTGGTTTCCAGGTGTATGCAGATGCCTCTTTGGTTTTCCCGCTCATCGTTGCTGAGACCTTCGCCCTACAAGCTGACAAGCTGACAGCGGGACAGAAAGCAGATTAAATGGATCATGCAGCCTTAAATGTTCAGTTAAACCATCTTCCTGCTTTAGTCTCTTAGTTATGTTTGTTTTTCCACATGAATGATAATATGATATGCTGCTTTTCATGCTCTTTTTTTAATAGATTATTACATTTTGGGTCAAAGTCTTTTTAATGCTTCCCTTGACGTTTTGGTTGTGTAAATAAGTTGTTTTTTTTTCTCTCTTTACCTTCAAGACGGTTGGAATAGCAAGCCTGTAATGCTATTGCATGTACCAAAGAGATTTCCTAGAATGTATTTGGATTTTAGCTTTAGGCTCTGGATATGTTGAGGCTGGACTTATTTATACACTTGATGCATGGCTGCTATTAGGAACTTGTCCTAATGAATTCTTAGTTTTCCTGTTTGACAGTTCATTTTAATGTCTTTGTGTTTGGGTTTTAGTTTAATAATTCAGAAAACAATATCTAACCCTGAATGAAATGCTGTTATTTTAATTTTTCTGTGTGTTTGATCTATGTGGGAAAACCATGGAAGTGCAGCTTGTGACACCGAGTTGCGCATGAGGTTTGTAAATAGTGTAAAAAGAGAAGTTTGGAGAGAATGTTCTGTGCATTTGGGGTGTTTTAAGGAATAATACAGTTAAGACATTGTCTGTGATGTTAAAAACAATTTTCATCCCTTTGTTTGGTTTAAGATTGTCCCAAGAAGTCATAGTCAATGGGAAGATATTTTATGAATAATTTAGTTTTGCATGGAGACAATTTGTTGGCTTTGAAAGTGAAATATTCTTCCAGTCTGACCGAGTAAAGGATTTCAGAATAACCTTTGCTTAAGTTCCTGTTTTTTTTTTTATTTCTAAATGTTTTCAAGGCTTTCTGTTCCATGTACAAATCTAGAATGTTGTTTTATTTTCTGGCTAAAATAAAACATCCTGCTCAAAGAACTTTTGTCTATTTTCCTTCAGTCATTGAAAGATGTACAGAGACTGTGTGCATGCATGAAAAACCTTCTTTAATATTTTGGTTTATTTTTAAACTTTGGTTCATTATGAGGGACCCAGAACATGCAGCTACAGTATAGGCAATGTTTTACTGCAGCATCTTGAAAACTGAATTTATTTCACTAACTTAGTAAAGTTAAAATACAATATGACTAGCAGCTAATGGAAATCAAAAACTGTTTGGGAACTGGAGAATAAAACGAAAAAAAAAAAAAAAAGTGTTATCTGCTGCTGTCTGTCCACCCTGTTTATCACGTCCAAAGTCACTGCAGCTTCAGTGGGGTTTCCCTCATGCTTTGCTCTACTGACGAGCTTTTTACCAAGATTTTGCTTTACCTTCAATGCCAGTACCTGCCTCCATGACCACAATCTAATCTAAACCCCATAGAGGTTTTAATTTTTTTTTTTTTTTGAATCGATTCTCATATTAGATCCTAAAGCTTGATTAAGATTACCAAGCCTGGCATGATCTACTATTACTTTATTAATTTGCTTTTGCATAACGCAACATTAGTATCAATATGTTGCAGCTACACAGTCATGGAATTTGCGTAGCAAATGAAAAAAAATGTTTTTAATACCAACATGTCAATTTGAAATCAGACCGGATCTGATTTAAATGAATTAACTCTAAATCTTCTCAGGATTATTGTCAAAAAGAAGGTGAGGCACCACAACTACAGGTGGACTGAAGCCTGGTGTTAACAACCTGGGGCTTCCTGGACAGCAGAGCCATAAGCTGATCACCATCTAGGTCATGTTTCATGAAAAGATGCAGAACTTTATGTAAAAAGAGCCTAAGTAACACAACTTTTAAATACTTTTAGTAGGCAGTTTGTTTGGTATCAAACATTTTTATTGGTTCATTTCAATTCAATTCAATTCAATAATGTTATATTAAAACAGAATTTTTAGTTTAGCTTAGATGTGAGCAACAAACATCATAGGTAACAGAAATAACCTCCTCAAATATTCTTACTATTTGTCACTGTGTACAGTTATAAATTGAACTAAATGAATGAAAAAAAGATGAACTGACCTGAACTTTTAAATACAAAGAATGTGCCCCTTTTTGTAAAATTGGAGTACCGGTACTTGCAGCCAGCTGACTGACAGTGTGCAGTAACAGCTAGGGGCTACACTATCTTATGTTCCTTAAAGCCAGAGGAAACTCCAGTTACCTCCTGAGGTATCTCATTATAATAAATCCAACTTGTTCTTACTACTTGGTGGAACATTCAAGCTTTTACTATATATTACCGTGAGGCTTTGAAACTTTGGTTTATCTACATACCGCTATGCTCTGGTTATTCCATCTTCTAGTGGAGTTTAAGATGGATTAAATGCTGCAGTGACAAGCTGAGGTCACAATGCTGCAGCGATTTTAACCTTTTAGAACCTCACCATCCTGGTCATTTATTTTTAAAGGATTGAAAAATACGTTTGAGATATAGTGCAGTCTTTGAGAATTTTACAGCCAACCGTTTCCTTTTAATTTTATTTTTAGCAACAAATAAAAAAAAAAAGCTTTCATGCAAACAGTTTTTAAAGGTGGTTTGATCCATTTGAAAAGCCTTTGGTTTGTAAACAGGTACACTCCATTCTCACTTTATTAGGTCAATGTGCAGCTAAACCTCGGTTGAGTGTGTTATTGTCGGTTTAGTCGGTTTAGTGATGCTGATTCATTTCCTATCGTGAAAAAAAAAGAAATGTATTAGCTAAAAGAAAATTCAAAGCCTGAGCTGACATTTAAAAGGCTGTTGATGAGCCTTTATACTAAAGAGTGACTCAAATTTCCTGTTATTAAATACATATAGCTGGATACAGCACAGCCTTGCTCAATAACATCCTGAAGTTTGAATTGTTTGCTAAAAGCTTCAGTATATTTCAACATACAAACAGAGATTACAGGCTCTACATAATTAGACTTTCAGTACACCACACACTATTTATTAAATAGTTGATTTATTTTTTATTTAACAATTGCAGATACATCTTTAGATTCTAAATAATCAATTATCCTAGAACTCTGCAGCTGTAAGGCCAAACTCCAATAAAAAAAGTATTTTTTTTTTCATATACCCTCATAGTTTGGCCCAACACTGTCCTTACCATAGCAGATTTAGATTAGCTGATTTTTTTATTTTTATTTTACCATCATTCTTCTGGCTACAGGTAATGGTTGAGAATCTGTGGTGGATGGAAATGATTAGGGTGATAGTGAGGAGGCCTTCCAACCACAACCGCTTGAAGCTCATTGTGGAAAAAAATTTATATTATCATATAAACAGCAGCTATGAGAAGCATCGACTGTGATGAAGGTTGTTCAACTCTATTATGTAGAAGATAAAGAAAAAATTACTGTAGATTTTTACCAATTTTGGTTTAACTGTAATCAAGTTGAAGAATTTAAATAAATGACTGTATTAGTAGTTAATATAGCAAAATATAACATTTTAAAATCTGCAATTCTTTTTGTATTTATCAAATATTTCCTGTACAAATTTCTGTAATAAATGTATTTATTTATCAACAATTTTGCTACAAATTTCAAACCACCATCCCAGTTTGATTAAATCAGCAAAAGGCTACGTCATCCACAGACCAGCATTAGCCTCGCCTTTTGACTTTGATTAGACTAAATACTACACAATAGGAAATAATGAAATAAAAACTGCTGTTGTAATTAACTCTTAACAGTTGATAACTAAAGAACCGCTTTTTTTATTTTTATATTTTTAATTTTATTGACTGAATCAACATTTGTTAACAGGTTATTTTCAAAAATTATTTTGAATCTGACAAACAACCCTGATTGAAAGGCATATAAAAAAATATAAAATAGGATTGAAGTGAATTAATCTTTTTTGTCACATTTGAGCCTGGATATGTCAAAAGTTGGTTTAAGTTTAATCAGCGGGAAAATCCAGTAGTTATTTTAGTCACAAATATAAATGAAAGCTTACCAGCTTAATGCTCTTTGACAAAGGATGCTTCAGGTATGCCTCATGGGGAAAATGTTTGAGGCAAATGAGAGCATCACATCATCTGCATCTAATTGGTACTTGCTCATGCATTTTTAAATTTGGCCCAGCACAGAGGAAGAAAATCTATGTAAGGCACAGATATTTCCTTTTACGCACGCTGCAGAGGCGACCACAATCTCGTAACAATGATCAAGACATTTCCCTCTGCAGTAGATGACTTTGTTACAGTGAGAAGGGATATTTCCTGTGGCTAATCAGCGAGCTCATATCCTTCTCACTGAGTCACTGCTGCATTCACAGTTCACTTATATTTCCAAATCCTTAGAATGGAAATGTGGGATGGCTTTCTGTTTCAAGTGTGTCTATAATACGTTCACTGACGTGTGATTTGCTTTTTCCTAGCGAAGCTTAGCCTCAAGCCACTGCTGACCTTTTCCTATTTGGAAACAGAGATGGAGGAGAGGAATTGGAGCCGGGATAAGGTCAGAGTTCCTTAAAACCACGACTCCATATGCTCACACACATAAATGAACAGGGCGTTCCTGCCCATAAGATGCAAACTGCTTTTCCATCCACTGCTCCTGCAGCAGCACTGTGCAAGTGTGTTTGCTTAGAGCTTTGACAATTGAAAAGATTCTTTTTTGTCTTTTCTTTTTTCAAAGGCATTGTTGTATGGATTTTCAGCGCTTTACAAACATGTTTACCTTGTGCTTAACGGGGAGATTACCCACAGACAAAGTGGGCTGGAGACAGTGGAGTCGAGACCCTGCACGTGTTTGTCTGTGGATGAGCTGTAGTCACGCTATGATAATATTGTGTGGCGCCTGTACAGTGGAGACAGTGCGCCCCCTCTCCTCCCCTCCTCTGTGGAACAATCAGCACACTGTGTTGCAGCAGTCATAATGGCAATTATGTCTTCTTGCAGCCAGATTGGCAGCTTTTTTATGATGAGAACCAAGCAGCCAGACAGGGAGGGGGAGCGCTGACCTGCTGCACAGCTGTAGGGTGGGGCGGATCAGCAAGAGGTGCAGGAAAGAGAATCCAAATATACAACAAACAGGCCCAAGGATATTTTCATATATATATATATATATATATATATATATATATATATATATATATATAGTTCCTCTGAAATAGGGTGTGCCTTCTGAAATGCATAGATACAACGGTAAAGTACTCATATATGCTGATCTTTTCACACTTTCTTACATTACAAACCGGAAACTATAACGTATATATTTGGGTTTTTACGTGAAAGACCAAAACAACTGTCAAATTGAAGAACGTTATGATTTGCTTTAAAACGTTTTTTACTGATACAAATCTGAGAAGAGTGATGATTCTTAGACCCTTTTATTCCGAAACCCCTAAATAAAATTCAGAAAATGTAGAAGCCATTAGTGTTTCATTTATTAATGCATTATAATGATATATTAGAGATATTGATTAAAAATTGCAATTTACATTTAAAGACCTGTTCAGCAAAAACATCACAGGTTTGTTAGAGAACACTAGAGAACACATCAAAGGAGAAATGCAGTATGGTTACTCTAAAAGGAGAATGCAGCTCCGACTCAATGGGTAACAAGTAATTGAATCAGCTTAATGTATTTAGTTTGTAAGTTGCCCAGTTAAATACATGAAGTTGAGCAAACTTAATTCAGCTACTGAAGTAATTAATTTAAATTGGAGCTGCATTCTCTTTCTACACAGCAGGGTTGTGAAATGCTGCCTGAATGCACAGACCTGGTAGAATCTTGCAGCTTTAATAACAGTAGAAAGGTTCTACAGACTGTAAAAACTAGTGAAAACAAATGCAAGCCACACTTTTCAGATTTCTATCTGTAAAACAAAAGTGATACCTATGTAATATGTTCTTTCCACCTTTATGCCACACTTGGTTTCACAGTATTTCATTTAAAACCAA